TGAACAAACTTTTTCATTCTGTAACTGTTTCAATAATCAGAAATACCTTTTACACTGAAAAAACAAGGAAAACTAGAGCACCCTTTAAAATTGACTGGCAAATGTGCACCATTTAATATGAATTCGACGAGTTCGAGTACGGCTTTGGTTTTTATGTGCCAGTTTTGTCTTAAGACGTATGGCATGAGAGTGCATGACGTTATAAGTGATTGTCTGTGATGTGGGTATAGCAACCCAATCTCGTACCAGTAGTCTATTCTAACTTAACTTACCGCGACGAAGTCATTCATTACTTCCATCGGTGCTTTTTCATTATGTGCAGGTACTCGGATCACTTCTGTTCCGTTTTTAACGTCGACCTCCACTTCTTCCTTGACTGTGGTGCCCTCCTCAGAGAAGCGGAGCGAATACTCTTCAACCTGTTGACAACATAGTCATCAAACCGTCAAAAGAAACAAACTATTATAGGGCTGAGTGGCAACATTTGGAAAAGGGAAGAAACCATCCCTGGATTTCAACCACGGAGGATATAGATAAAAGATATGAAAGCACGTTGGAAGTTATTACCATTATGATAGTGGCTTTTAAAAATAGAATGTTGTTAGATTCACTATTTTTTACAGTTAATCGTGATGTGAAGACACTTACCATGCAGTTCACTTCCTCTTTTATAAAGAAAAGAAGAACAACAGTCAGCAGGATTTTCGCCCGGTAAGATGCAGCCTGAAAGAAAATAATACCACGGAGATTTATCCTTTTTGTTCGGATAATTAATTTTATCTATTATTTGCCCTGTATTATTTTTTCGTCCTTTCTTTCTTTTTTTAACAAAATTATTTAGGAACTAAAAAATGCAAATTTGAGTGAATATGCCCAAGTTTAATTGATACATGGGCACTTATCTGCGACACGTCGGTACATACAGAAAACCGGGTATATATTGGATTGACAATTAACGTTGAGGGCGAGCGCCAGACTAAAGATGAAACGAGTGTTTTATGAGGCAGTAGGGGAAGAAGTACTCGAGTTGTATATGTACTATGGGAATCATATAGGATCCTTCATGATAAGTGTTTTGTGTTTTGCATAAGTGTGTTGGCGTAAGGGGAATCCTAACTCCCAGGCCAGTCATAGGCCCTAGCCTCCCAAGCAGACGTTCTTAGCTGTTCGTCACGCGCTAAGAACGTACTGCGGGGGAGGCTAAAGGCCCTATCCTGGGGTACTTGTCCCCAGGCTAGGTCCTAATCCCCCGGTTATCTAACGAGCGTAAACAACAGCATTAATATTTGACTCTCTAGAAAAGTAAAGTAATAATTTTCTTATTAGACAAGAAAATAAATAACGTTAAGGTTTATACTTACCATTTTCCGTTAGAGACTGAACGTTTAGTTACTTACAGACTGAAGCGTAGTGCGAGAAACGTTTGTCGAAAGGCAATTTGAAAACTCTTTTATTTTCACCGTTTCAGCCCTGTGATTGACAATCCTTTCCTGTATCAGCTTTGCGCAGGCTATAAATATTAGATTGAAATAATAGTTTCCACCGCAAATGCTGAAGCAAGAAACAAATAACCTTATACTTGCTACAAACAAGGAAGGACTACAATAGTGCTGTCAATAATATATAGATTTAGCCAGGGCTAAAAGCGAAGCTCTCGATAATATTTATAGTTTGCTCAAACAAAATATAGAATCGTATAATGCTAAGCGGCTAAGGCAACGTGAACGGTGAAAAAACAACAATAGGTTTAATTAGCAAAAAAGCAACTTTGCACGAGCAGCACAATTTTTTTGTACATTTCTTTGCTGTTGTTTTGCAAGACTACAACGTGAAACTTCCAGAAACTTCCTGGTTACACGTTTTTTGGAGGAAATGTCGTACGTGTTCTTGTTCACTTTTGTTTTCACTGTCGCTCATTTTCACCCTGATGGCCGCCGGCATTTCTAATTTTCTCACCGCAGCTACAAAATTTCATGTCGTTCCTCCAACAAAAAATGTCTCCTTTGTTTTTTCTATGTCGCTCTAGCTGTTTTTCTCGTTGAGCTTCCCTGGCCTGTCTCCTTACTTTCTCTTTCTCTATTTTCCAAATTTGTGGACTTGACAATTGCTATAAATTAAACTTAATACTTTAGACAACACAGATACAGAGAGAAATTTTACTTTCCCTTTTCGTCTTTATTGACTCTTTAGTTGTCTCTGCTTCACAAGACGCAGGTGGCCATGCTCTTTCTCGCCAAAATAACCTGACATTTGGTATCGGCTTACATGAAGTGAGTGTAAGGACGGTCGGCGTTCGTACGCGACTTCATAACGAAATTTTCTTGCTTTAATACGTTATTTATCTTAGCAATGGGGCTCCACCACACGCTCGCCGCTAAAATCACTGGGCATCCATGAATGGCCTCAGGTAGGAGCTTATCATCATTGCAAAGTTAGAATATCAAAAGCGAAAGAAAAGAATTGAAAGTGAGAGACCTATCTTTTGCAGCGTTTCAGCGGTTTGAAAGACAAATAGATTATTATCCTTATTAGTTCTCGTTTAATTGGCAGCTAAACATCGCGTATTTGGCTAAGGCAAATAATATCTCGTTTTGCTGAAGGAAGCATTGCATGAGGAAATATTGTAACTTGTTTTAAGCGATTATCGAGTAATCCAGTCAGCAATTTTAAAGTACCGTTTATTCATCTTTTTATTTTTTGTTTAAACATAATTCACATCTTCTGACTGAGAGTTAGCCTTCTACAAAATCAGAATTTAGGAAAGGAGTTTGCTTTCCTTTATCGCTTGAGCAATTAACAAATCACAGGTTGAAAAAAAGTGTTTCCGTTTCCGTTTTTGTAACGGTTACCTCACGGAAACTTGAATATCCGCAGACGGAATTGTAACTAACCGTTGCGGGAAACACGTGTATCCGTCATGTTTCAGTTTCTGCGGACACGCTTAAACGCATCCCTTATACTCGCGTTTCCGTCAGGTTTACTCTTACGGAAACGCTAACTGCCGCCATGTTTCCGCAGCTCGTAAATTCAGAGGATACTCAATTATCCGTTGAGTTCCCGGAACAATGAATGCGGAAACTCAGTTTGATCGGTTTACTTTCTGCAGCCTTCATGTTTCCCCAGATTCCACTTTCGGTGGATTATTCACTGGATTTCCTAAATGTGTTAACTTAACTTAACCATCCAGTTTCGAATCATATGTTCATTCTATCCGGTATATAAAAAAGTGGACGTTTGTGAGACAACCCTGGACCGTTTCTTGCATCCACAATGACCCATTTTCGCTGATACACACAAATCAAGAAGAGTCATATTTAGGTGCATTTTTGGTATTAAAGTTTTTATTAAAATAATTCTCTCTCCATTTTCATATAATATGTACATATGTATATTAAATATTTTCACAATAATGTAACTTTTCCATTTCAATAGGCCACTTCCGAGTTCCAAAAACCCTCACTTTCAAAATGATGCTAGGTGCGCAACCTTTCTTGTGAAAATGAGTTTTATTTGCATGAGAATGAAAAGTGATTCAAATATCAGGAGCTGAGCACCTACCCTCGTTTTGAAACAGAGGCCCGGGGGAACTCGGAAATGGCCTTTTAAATAATTCTTTTAGAATTGACAAAATTCAAACTTTTTTCCTTGAAATGATTAAATTAACATAATAATTATACAGGCTAACCTCTTCTTATGGATACTTCTATAAGACAGATAGTTTGTTTGGTCCCAGACATAACAAAAATCATACATTCCCTACCTCTATAATACGGACACCTCTGTAAAGCGGACACTTGGTTCGGTCCCTTTGGTGTCCGTATTAAAGAGGTTTGACTGTGTAATAATTAAGTAACTAACATTATTATAAGTAACGTGCATTTCCATTCCAAAAATAACTCCAAGAAGTAGTTCACAGCAAAACTATTACATAATTTAATACGAACAATATTACAAATAAAAGTCTTACTTAGTTACATGTAAGACTGCATACAAGCTCATTAGGAAATCTAAACTGCTGGCTTAATTCTTACACCATATCATACCATAGCAAGTACCAGTACTTGGTGGATCATCCCCAAAAATTATTGTTAAAGCCTATACAAACTGCTGAGAGGCCATCATTGGGGAGTATCAGACTGATGCTACAAAGACGATAGTGATGCAAACAAAACTAGCCATAGGCTTTATATACAAATGTGTAAGCCAACATCTCTACACATGTATCTCACTTTTTGTCGCCACTCTGTTGTAACTGCATGGCTGCAACTTGGACCTGGCTGTGGCATACAAAGTAGTCTACGAGAATTTGCCTACATTTAAGTTTGAATAATAATGACAAACTGTGCACTTTTAACAAGTGACTCACTTTCACAATGCATCTATCTTACATTCCCTGTTTTATAGTTTAGGATAATCCATTGACTGTCCTGGAATTTCAGCAATTTTAATGAACACAGTCGAGAAAAGATTGTCTTTAAGAATAAAACTCTTATCACCTTTCCAATAAGATTGTGCAATTTAGTTAAAGCTGATCATCACAGGGTCATCCTGACTAAAGAAGGCACAATAATACATTAGGGACTTTAAGCAAATTGCTACAGTGACCTCTAGTATGATGGTCGTGGATCAGAGTCCTGCAAATTTCAACTTTATGCAAGTGGCACCCAAAAGTCACTACAGGGCTTCTCGCTCATTTGGTTTTGGGAAGACTGAATTACTGCCCAGTGAACTTGAAGTGTTAAATACTTTCTTGATTAAGAGTAAAACAATATGATCGGTTTTAAGGGGAAAAGTAGAATTTTATACTCGACTATGCCATCACATTTTGTGCTTCGGCTAAAGGTCATTTTCTGGACATCATGCACACGGCGTCCTTTTTGGACTTTATACTCCCAGTTGCCATAGTAGTGATCACTGTAGCCATTTCACTAATTTGGTATTATTGGCATCTTGCCCATGAGGGGCAGTTATTTGGTACTGGTCCATCTGACAAGTATTTATCAACCTCTCTGGTTATTTTCCCAGCTGCTCTTTCTTTGCCTCTTTGACATGCAAGCTTCACAAAAGGCATCAAGAACAGCATTGATGTTTCTTAACTTTGACCTCTCTGAGCATAGTGGCCTGATGTACCTGGGTGGTGGATCACTGCCCCCCTCTTCATTGTCTACACTCTCCTGGATAGCCTTGTGTAGGTCTAATAAAGCCTTTGTTTTGGCTTTGTCATCCGGAGAAAGGTGTGCCTTGTCCAACACGTCTGTGCGATTCGTCAATTTCTGAACACCAAAAAAACATATTTAGTCACAGTGGCATGACTACTGTGATAAACATTTAATTAACATTTACTTTGTTCTTCAGCAACAGTTTAGTCTGGCAAAATAGTCACCCTGACTATTTTGAATCTTTAGATTTGGTTCTTGCTCTCTACTCTGAGCAATTTACACTACAATGAAACCTTGCATATAAATGGGAAGGACACTGTTAACATTAAAAATGTCAAAGGGGGGTAGGGTGTGGCACTCGTGCATTCTATAACAATCATAAATTATGTATGCATAAGACAAACATGCAAAACATGTGTTGTTTCCTTAAAAAATGAAAGACCCTTGTGCCCTTAACCTGAAAGATCCAGGTACCCAGGATAAATGTGTTTGAACAAACTAAGACTTCCTTGTCACCCAAGAGCAACAGTAATGCAACAGGGGCCACCAGGCACTGCCAAAGCACAGCTCTGTTACAGGACAAGCTAAATAAATCACTAAGTGGATGACTTAAACTACACATTAGAAATATTTGCACTGCAAGCATTAACAAAATAATGTACATGTATTTTACCTACCTTTTTAGCTCTCAAATTGGCACCTTGTCCAAACTCTGTGTTCTTCAGGTTTTCCATTTTGCCACCTTACCACGTCTGGGGGCTACTTCTCTGACTCCAGTACTTAAAAATGGCCCCTAGCAAAAGGAAAGCCTGTTAAATGTGCAGGTCTCTAGGAAAGGAATTAAGAGTGCTTCTTGGTGTTGTTAAAAGAATTGTTGGTTTCCTCCTGCTTTTGGTGTGGGTATTATTTAGTGGCTTTTGAATCTTTTGTATTTATGTCATTAGGAGATTGCACTTGTCGGCAACACCAAGAAACTACAGTGGAACCCCGTTAATACGGTCATCAATGGGCCAAAAAATTTTTGCCATATTAATGCGGTGGCGGTATTAATGAGGGTTTTTTTTCCAAGAAAATGTATGGTGGTTTTTGCCAGGCTGCCAAAAAAGTGGCTGTAATAACGAGGTGACTGTATTACCGAGGTAGCCGTAATGCGGGGTTTCACTGTACCAAATTCAAGAAACTTAGAAAAGTGTACAACTTACCTTTTTTCTCTGTTTTGGGCCATTTCTTTTACCCAAAATTCCCCCTCACTTCATTAACCAAAATACCCTCAATGTTTTTGTTCTCCGCATCATTATACCTCAAAGAAATAAAGACCAAAAGAAAATGTCAAATATTTATATCAAAATACTAATACATGTATTACATGTATATGTATATTATTGTAACAGCCTGGTTCTAAAAAAACTAGAGAGCTTAAAATGAGGAAGTTTTCTGGTAGCGCATTACAAAGACAAATATTTAAAAAATGAAGGTTGCTTTTATCATCGAATAAAGCCCTTATCCAAGTGCTTGACGCACAATACAAAATTAAAGTATAACAATATAAAAACACTATATAACCGTCTAGTTGATCTCCTTGTGGCATTTTCAAAAATTGAAAGTATCATTGACACAAGCACCATTTTGTCCACTCAAAGAAGGATAAAAAGAATTGCTACTTCCCACTCAAAGATGGGCATCTTACTTGAGTCAATGAAGGTTGCTTTGTCATCGCATAAAGCTGTTAAGTATATCCTTGTGTTCGAAGCTTCATGACAAATTGAAGTGTAAAGAAATTATATTCCTGAATAATATTCTTGTTTATCTCCTGGTGACTGTTGCAACATTTGAAATATCATTGACACAAGCACTACTTTGTCCACTCAAAGATGGATAAATAGAATTGCAACTTCTCATTCAAAGATGGGCGTCTTACTTGTGTCAATGAAGGTTGCTTTGTCATCAAATAAAGCCGTTACATATTTCCTTGTGTTCGAAGCTTAACGACAAATTGAAGTGTAAGGAAATTATATTCCTGAATAATATTCCTGTTTATCTCCTGGTGACTGTTGCAACATTTGAAATATCATTGACACAAGCACTACTTTGTCCACTCAAAGATGGATAAATAGAATTGCAACTTCTCATTCAAAGATGGGCGTCTTACTTGTGTCAATGAAGGTTGCTTTGTCATCAAATAAAGCCGTTACATATTTCCTTGTGTTCGAAGCTTAACGACAAATTGAAGTGTAAGGAAATTATATTCCTGAATAATATTCTTGTTTATCTCCTGGTGACTGTTGCAACATTTGAAATATCATTGACACAAGCACTACTTTGTCCACTCAAAGATGGATAAAATAAATAGAATTGCAACTTCCCACTCAAAGATGGGCGTCTTACTTGTGTCAATGAAGGTTGCTTTGTCATCAAATAAAGCCGTTACATATTTCCTTGTGTTCGAAGCTTAACAACAAATTGAAGTGTAAGGAAATTATATTCCTGAATAATATTCTTGTTTATCTCCTGGTGACTGTTGCAACAGTCATCAAATAAAGCTGTTATTCTTGTGTTCAAAGGTTAATGACAAATAATTGGAGTGTAAGGAAATGATATCCCTCTATAATCTTGTGACTTTTAGAACCTTTCTGCACCATCATATTAAACTTGTCATTGCACACATACACAAAGAGAAAAGGTCCCTTTTAACCCTACAAGTCTCGTAACAAGTGCTACATTTATTTCAATTTTGAACAATTCCTATTGGTCCCTGCAAATTGTATATGTCGTTTTAAATCTAGCAAGGAAATGCACATTGTATGCAAAAAATTAATATGAACATTAAATATTATTTTCGTACAGGTTTATCCTTGTGATAAACATCTACATTCTCAGAAATTAGAGTGGAAATGTTTTGTACATTTCAGTGTCAAGGAATTTTTATAAAATATTTTTCTGTCATTGACATTTGATTCCGTACTCCGTTCCGGGATTCCGTTTCCTCATTCGAGCTTCATCTTTTTACGGCTGCCATCTTCGCCATTAAAATGTGCATTACTATACAGAAAAATTCTTTTTCGGTGAAGCAGCAACTATGTCTTTATTGCAAAAGAAATCAGACAAACACGTGCTTTACAGGTAGATGTTATCAAAGAAACTACAGGCAACATACAAACGTCAGATCTGTAGGGAGCAACTCGCTGTCGCATGAAACATGTAAGCTTATGTAAGCTCACATGCGAAACGATTTTTATGATCGACACCCAAAGCTATTACATAGACTTAAATATGCTTCTACATATTCAAACAAGATTCAGAATGTACTTACGAAACAACAAGGATCCACGGTTTAAAATAGGCGTTCTTTCTTCTCAATGATTGTTGAAACACTCAGTGTGCATTCGAGTCGCCAAGTGAACACTGAACTCCTTCGTCACCGCTTCCATGGGATTTGGCGTTTCATTTAAATAGTTTTTCGAACTATTATTCCTCCCTGCAGTCTATTTCCGCAATCTATCACACTCTCCTCGCTCATCTTCACAAAAAAAAACGGCCCTGCATCTACAAACGGTCGTGACTAGAATGGATACTCCAAAATCAGGTATCCGCTCGGAGACTGGAACTGAATAAAATTATTTTTCGGCAAATCGCTCCGACTCTTTACGACCTTGTTGTGTTGAAAGACTAAGTATACAAAGACTGAAAAGGCTAAGATGAGAATGGTTACTCCAAAATATGGATCAAAGCCTACATAGAGGTTAGTTGTTTTTCACGTTCTTTTTGTAAGAATTTATTGCAAGGAGCAAACAATGTCGGTTTAATTACAGTACCACTACCGCGACTGCCGTGTAAAGCTTATTCATAGCAAAGTATCTGTTTGGATAGCTCAGAATAAGGTGGATACTTCAGAATAAGAATGGCCAAAATATGGAAGTTTTGGCCATCTGGATTATTGTTACTGAACTTCCCAATACAAACATGATTGTTACGTTTACAAAGAGGGTACAAATACAGTTAAGGTCAGTTAACCATCTTGTAATTTTATGGGTTAGTTGATTCCAAGTGTTAAAGGGCAACTCTCGCGTAGGACAACATTTTTCAGAAAAACCTTGCAAATGTTTTTCTCATTGTAATACCATCAAGAAATATATCTTCAGCGATCTGTTTGGCTCAGAAATCGAGATTCAAAGTGTTAAATTTGCCGCTTACTCGAACTTCCGCCATTAACGCTTCGATTTTGCCTATCACGTGACGTGACGTCACAGGTGTGGAACAACAGATGATCTCGAGTATGGCTGACTGTAGTTCTTCAAGTGATAGCGCTACCTCTTTGTCCGATTATTCGGTTCTAGAAAAACTTTTAGAATGCGAAGTATAGGGAATCCCTTCACGGAAATTCAACCCCGGCGTTTTGAGCCGCCTGGAAGACCGTCCGAAGCTGATGAAGTTCGTGCGTCGCCAGAAAACATCGAGCCTACCACTCGCCCGCTGCGATCTCGATAGTGAAGAATGGTGAGTGCCTAGATGGTTTTGAACAATTTTTGTGTACAGTGCGATCCGTAAATCGCTTGATTTCATCAATGCTATGAATGCCTCAAATTGTAAAAGGAAAAGGACTAATTAAACACGCATTTTTTTTTTGTATACTGAGCGTTTATAATTTTAGATAATTGTTTTCATATGGACAAGTAGTCGAAAGCGTACCTTCCCCTTCTAACGACTACTGGAAATGATAATCTGGGCAAGTGTTCTCAGTGTAGTTTTCTTTTAATTTCTGCTTTAATCCTGGTTTTACAAAAAGCAGTGATTTATATCGGAAGCAATAACTACGCTCTCGTAATTCGTTGACTGCAACGCAAATAAATTTCCATATCTTTGCCCCTTGACAGCCGCTCATGCTCGACTCGAGGAGTGCTTGCACTTTAAAATTTGTCTCTTTTGTTGTTATACAGATTGTTATACATAATAACTGAAAGGCGCCGTACAGTTGTTTTCCTACAATTCGTTCACTTACTTTCACTGTGTCTTGCTCTGTCAATGAATTTGGTTCAGAAGTTATTATTCTAGCTTCTGTGTATCCTGATGTTATTATTAAGACAATTTAAAGTTGGGATGAGATACACCTCCATACCCATGTGAACTAACTGCTTGCATAAAACGTTTCTGCTCCCTAGTATATGATTTTCGAGGTTGGGACATGTCGTATTCACTTAAGTTTTTGTCTGGAGCACAACAATGGTTATGCTAACCACAATAATATTGCATTTGATGAGATATAACTGCAGGAACTTCTATTATAATACACCCAGTATTGAAAACGTGTACATATTTGAAACTATTTTATGGTTATGGGCAGGAGATAGTATGATGAAGCCATAAACGTTAAAGAGTGAATAAGCTCAAAATTGAAATAATATTCGTATGTCTCGACTTATGGCAGTTTGATAATTTTCTGGGTGCAGAATGAAAAGGTCAATATTCAACACTTGCTCTGTTGCCCTCCTTTAACCGACGTTCAATATTTATGACTAAAGAAAATAACTACTATTGGATGGGGGGAAAATATCTGCTTCCAATGGGTGGCTGTTGTAAAACGTAAATATTTGGAGGCATTTGAAGTTAAAAATATGGAGGAGCCTCCTAGTGGAGCATCGTGGAACACCCAGGATTCCAGGCAGTTTGTCTGAATTACTGGGTGTTACGAGCTGCATGGCAATACAAGCAGCAGCATGGTGCCTCGGCATATGAAGAA